TCTGACTGTTTGCACTCATGTGGTACTTGAATTTTGGCTTTCCCCGAAGAATGCAGCCTCTTCCTCTCTCAACTTCTTCCCCTGGGAAGCCCAACCTCAGTTCTTCTTGCTCATAAAGTTGGGAAAAATCAGAAAAAAACTAGTATAGACCGATAGTTGTACAAAGTAACTGCTCAGAAGGGCCCTCCTAAACAGACCTCACACCTCTCTGGGTGATAGAAAATGGAGAAGGGCTCAGCAAGCTCCCCTTCAATTTTATCACATCTCTGCAAATGACCACCTCCAGCCACCTGTAAGAGGCAAGTGTACATTGGCCATAATTCCTTGGCTTCCCAAGATTCTGCATTGCCACATCTTCCCAGATGCTCATACCATCTTTAACAAATCTTCATAGGGAACCTCTTCATTGCAAGCACTATTCTGGGTACTTATTTGATTAAGTGCTCAGGGGGAAGAGGGTAAACAGTACGTTCTCATACAAGGATAGGGCAGAATCTCATCAAACAGGAATGTATAGGCATGGACCAGAACCCAGAACCTCTTTCTGGAAATTCTCTTGTTTTTCTTTAGGGAATAAATAACAATGTATTAGTTAAAGATTCTAAAACTTAAATGCTATTATTCCACAGGGCAAATTATATCCCTAGTCTTCTTTCAGTTACATTTTAACTAGATTTTCAAACAGCTCTACCTAGGAATTGCTCCAATTCATAATATACTTACACCAAATTCTCTACTTCTCAGTCATCAAGTCACTGATCTTTATCCCTTAAATATTTACCACCATGTGTTTTGTGTCAATTATGCATCCAGCCCCATGCTAGACATGAAAGGAACTTTAAGACCATTAATCATAAACCCTCAGAAGGGAAAAAATTTTCTAATTCTGATTTGTGGATGTTTATTCATTTAACAAATATCAATCATACACTGACTATCAACCAGGTACCACTACATTATAGCTGCTAAGTTTACAAAACAAACAAGATACAGTCACTACCATCAAGACACTTACTGTCTAGTTGGGAGAAAGAGAAGTGACAAAACTACAGTGTAATAAATGCCATAATAGGAGTGAATATAGGGTGATATGGTAGATATCGGAAGGGTATCTGTGTTAGAAGCCCGGATTAAATGTTTGACTTGGCAAAATTAAGTTTAAAATAGAATGACTTCATTGGTTAGCATTTAGAATGGTGGAAATGTCCAACATGAGGATGAGTTTGCCAATAAAATAGGATTAAACAGATAATTAGTTTGATTCAGTTCTTCCAAAACATTTGACTGATAAACCTTATGAGTTATAAACTAGAAATCAGCAATTTGGAAAGATCTTTTTGAGATCACCTGTCCAATCTCTTTTTACAAATAAGAAAATTGAGGCCTAGAGAAGTAAAGTACCATATTCAAGGTTTAAAACTCAGTGAAAGTTTGCAGAGACCTGTGTTTTTCATTCTGCACCACACTTCATATAAAGCTTGACATCAAATTATTTTCTAAGCATTATTTCCAAGTATCAGTATTTGTACTAAAATTAGAGTTTGTAATTTGTACGTATTGGGTGGTAAATTCTACTCAGTGACTAAACTGTATTTTATTGGCACAATAAATTGAAAGTGAATTGTACAACACTCTACATGAATGTGGTTTTAAAAATGGCAAAGATGTTTGGACCAGTGAAGGATCCTGTTTGTGAAGGATCAAAGACTTATACAAGTACAGAATAGAATTAAGGGTGATTGAAAAATATTTTTTTAATTAAAAAGAAGTTTAAAACATGATTTCCAAAAGAATTATGTTAATTAAAATCAACAAATACTTAGGAGGAAAAACTGGAGAATTGTTAGTTTTCTGAACTTACCACATAATAAAATACATTTTCTCTAAATTGACTTGTTTTGAAGTTCACTAATTTATTTTCCAATTTAAGCAGCATAATTGCATGATTTAAAAACCTCATTTTTGGAAAAAAATCACCCAACCTAACCCAAAAATTATTTCAGCTTGATACATTCCCTTCCAGCTTCTATACACATGCACAACCATTTTACAATCATTGTATGCAGATAACTTGTATCCTATTTCTTTTATTCATATCAACATCTCATTTTGGGATCTCAGAAATTTTATCAGCCAAATAATGTTCCATTGAGATAATGTTCTATAATTTACTCAACAAGTGAAATTTGACAATATTTATGTCTTGTCCAGAAGGTATTTCAAAAGCTAATGATTTGAATAACAAACGATTAAGAAAAAACCTTGAGAAAATCAGTCTTCAAATATTTTTATAAAAATGACCCTCCTAGAATCCAGACATAAATTCATGCACCTATGAGCAGCTGATGCTTGACAAAGGCCCAAAGTCCGTTAATTGGGGAAAAGACAGTCTCTTTAACAAATGGTGCTGGCATAACTGAATATCCATCTGCAAAAACCTGAAACAAGATCCATATCTCACACCATGCACAGAAACTAACTCAGAATGGATTAAAGACCTAAATACAAAATCTAAAACAATTAAGATCATGGAAGAAAAAATAGGGACAATCCTAGGAGCCCTAATACGTGGCAAAAACAGAATAAGAACCATAAGTAACAATGCGCAAACACCAGAGGAGAGAATAGATAATTGGTAGCTCCTAAAAATCAAACACTTATGCTCATCAGAAGATTTCACCAAAAGAGTAAAAAGACAATCTACAGACTGGGAAAAAAAAATTGGCTATGACAAATCCAAATAGCGTTGAATCTCTAAAATCTACAAGATACTGCAAAACCTCAACAACAAAACGACAAATAACTCAATTAAAAAATGGGCAAAGGATATGAACAGGCACTTCGCCAAAGAAGATATTCAGGTGGCTAACAGACACATGAAGAAATGCTCACGATCATTAGCCATTAGAGAAATGCAAATCAAAACTACAATAACATACCATCTCAACCCAACAAGGCTAGCATAAATCCAAAAAACACAAAATAATAAAT